ATTTTCATTGTACAATTTATTTCTAGTTTCATACCTTTATGGACTGAGAAGCTGGTTGGTACAATTTCAATCCTTCTGAATTTACTGAGGTTCTTTCTGTGGCCTAGTATGTGATCTATTCTGGAAAATGTTCCATGTACACTTGAGAAGAATGTGTATCCTGCTGCTTTTGGGTGGAGTGTTCTGTAGGTATCTGTTAGGTCCTTCTGTTCTAATGTGTTGTTCAGTGCCTCTGTCTCCTTACTTTTCTGTCTGTTGATCTGTCCTTTGGAGTGAGTGGTGTGTTGAATTCTAAAATGAATGCATTGCTTTCTGTTTCCCCCTTTAATTCTGTTAGTATTTGTTTCACATATGTAGGTCCTCCTGTGTTGGGTGCACAGATATTTTAATGGTTATATCTTCTTGTTGGACTGACCCTTTAATCATTATGTAATGTCCTTTTTTGTCTTGTTACTTTCTTTTTTTTTGAAGTCTATTTTATTTTATATAAGTACTGCAACTCCTGCTTTTATCTTCCTATTATTTGAATAAAATATCTTTTTCCATCCCTTCACTTTCAGTCTTGTGTATGTCTTTGGGTTTGAAGTGTGTCTCCTGCAGGCAGCATATAGATGGGTGTTGCTTTTTTATCCATTTTGTGACTCTATGTCTTTTGATTGGTGCATTCAGTCCATTTACATTTAGGGTGATTATCGATAGATATGTACTTATTGCCATTCCAGGCTTTAGATTCATGGTTACCAAAGGTTCATGGGAAGCTTCTTTAGTACCTGACAGTCTAACTTAACTCTCTTAGTATGCTATTTCAAACACAATTTAAAAGTTCTTTCTTTTTTCCTCACTTCTTTTTCTTCCTTATCCACTCTTTATATATTAGATGTCATATTCTGTACTCTTTGTGTATCCAAGGACTGACTTTGTGGGTAGCTGATTTAATTTTGCATTTGGTTAGTAATTAATTGGTCTACTTCCTTTACTATGGTTTTATTTTCTCTGGTGACAGTTATTTAGCTTTAGGAACACTTCCATCTAGAGCAGTCCCTTTAAAATACACTTTAGAGATGGTTTGTGGGAGGTAAATTCCCTTAACTTCTGCTTATCTGGAAATTGCTTAACACCTGCTTCAAATTTAAATGATAATCTTGCTGTGTAGAGTATTCTTGGTTTGAAGCACTTCTATTTCATTGCATTAACTATATCATGCCACTCCCTTCTGGCCTGTAAGGTTTCTGTTGAGAAGTCTGATGATAGCCTGATGGATTTTCCTTTGTATGTGATCTTTTGTCTCTCTCTGGCTGCTTTTAATACTCTGTCCTTGTCCTTGATCTTTGTCATTTTAATTATTATATGTCTTCCTTGGTCCCTTGTGTTGGGAGATCTGTGCACGTCCATGGCCTGACAGACTATTTCCTTCTCCAGATTGGGGACGTTTTCAGTAATTATCTCCTCAAAGACACTGTCTATCCTTTTTTCTCTCTCTTCTTATTCTTGTATCCCTATAATGTGAATATTGTTCCATCTGGTTTGTCGCATAGTTCTCTTATTAGTCTTTCATTCCTAGAAATCCTTTTTCCTCTCTGCCCCTGCTTCTTTGTATTCCTGTTCTCTAATTTCTATTTCACTTACCATCTCCTCTACCTTATCTATTCTGCTTTTAAATTACTCCACTGTATGTTTCATTTCAGATACTGTATTTTTCAAAGTTTCTATCTCTTTCTTGAAGTCCTCCTTGAGATCTTGAATATTTTTCTGTAGCTCTGTGAGCATATTTATGATCTTTATTTTTAATTCTTTATCAGGAAGATTGGTGACTTCAGTTTCACTTAGCCCTCTTTGGTGTTTGAGGGATTTTGGTTTGTATTAGATTCTTTTGCCGTTTCTTATTTCTAATGATTACTATGGAATAATAACTTTTTGTAGGTGGTGCCCTCTAGTGGCCAGAAGCTCTACTCTCTGGAGCTGCCCAACAGCTGGAGCGATGGCTGGGGTTGCTGCCATAAGTGGGGCCTCCCTCTCGCTGGCCTGGTGTGATGGTGGGGGCAGCAGGTCTGTGAACCGGTGCTGGCCAATAGGAAGGAGCAGCAGGCTGCGTATAGCAGTGGGGGGCCTCAGCGCTGCATTGCTAGCCAGAGGGATGGAGTCCCTGAAGCTCCTGAAAGTTCCCAGCTGCTGGGTTGAGTGTGCTGGGATGTTGTCCACTTGTCCTTTCTCCTTAGCAGCAAGCTCTGTGTAGTTGTTGCTCCTTTAGCACATCTCTCGCTATTGGGAAGTCTTTCAAAATGCCTGTCTTTCTTTTGTCCCAGAGTGGCTGGTTGTGCATACCTGTTCTCCACAAGTGGCTGGAATCTCAGTCTCTCAGAGTATTCTGCCTGTCTGTGCTTTCCAACCCCACTAATCTTCAGAGCTTCACATAATGTGGGTTTGTGCTCCCTGAGCAGATCTCCAGGGGTGGGTGTTTAGCAGCCCTGGGCTTCTACTCCCTCTCTGCTCTGTTTCTCTTCCTCCTGCCCAGTCAGCTGGGGTGGGGAAGGGCTTGGATCCCACCGGATTGCGGCTTTGCTACTTCACCCTTTTCTCGGAGGTTTTTCTCTCTTCCCCAGATGTAGGCTGTCTGTTGCAGTCTTCTTTCTAGTCGTTCTTTGAGTATTTGTTTTACTTGCTGTATATTCATGTTATATGTGGTTTTGGGAGGAGGTTTCTGCCTCACTTCTCACACTGCCATGTTTTCTTCCCTCCAACTTATATATTTTAACTGTGTATCTCCTTCAGTGAATGTGAGTTCCCTGAAGGTAAGGGGTTTGTCTGTTTTATTCCCTCAGCCTCTAGTTTATAGCAAGTGCTCAGTGACTCACTACAATAAGTGAAATGAGCCAGACACAAAAAGGCAAATACCACACAATGCCACTTGGATGGGAACCCTTGAGCAGTCAAAAATCACAGCCACAGAAAGTAGAGTAGTGGCTGCCAGGGGCTGCAGGGTGGGAGGAATGGGAGTCAGCATTCAATGGGTGGCAAGAGTTTCAGTTTGGAAAATGAAAAAGCTCCAGAGATGGATGTCAGTGATGGCTGCACAACAATATGAATGTATTTAATGCCACTGAACTGTACACCTAAAAATGGCTAAAATGGTAAGCTTTTTGTTCATTTTATGTTTATTCCCACAATTACAGTGAAGGGTGGCACAGCTGTTGCCTCAACTCTGATTAAAGATGCCTAACACGTGAGGCACAGCGGGAGCAGCAGCAGCTGATGCAGGAATGGAGGCTGGGATGCATCTACTTCCCTGCCGCTGCCTGCAGCTCGGACCCCAGATTCAGAACCACCAGAGGCAGCTCATGGCTCCTGCCCTGGTTTCATTGTTCCCAAGGAAAGCAAGTTAAAAAGTTACTCCTGCCTCCATTTCTAGGAGGAACTTAGCAACAAGGAAGTGCCATCACCAACTGGTTTTGGTCCACAGTGACCTAATTTTACCGAAGTCACTCCATATCCCATTGGCAGGGGAGGACTATTAACTGAAAGAGCAACATTAAGTCACTGGCACCCATACCCAATTATTACTAATGGCTCACATTTTCCGAGCTCTTCTCCGTAACAACTCACTCTTCAAAATAATTGTCAAATAGGTATGAAAAAAACTGTGTAATCTCCAATTTACAAAAGAACATACAAAATTCAGTGAGCATTAGCTACAGAGGATGACAGAAATGGGACTGCCTTCAGGGTACTAATCACTAACATTTATTAAGGATGTATTAAGACACGGGTTCAACATTTTACACGGACTAATGAACCTCAGACTCCCAACTAGCCTCTTCCTACCACACCTGGTAGTCACTACTACAATTATTCCTTTTCATAGAAGAGAAAACTCAGGCTCAAAGAAGAAATCACTGTGAATAGCTACTATAAAATGTGTGTGTATAAAATAGTATTAAGTATTATAAAGAGATGAAATAATTTAATAAGTGACAGCTGCTCTGAAACACCTCACTCCACAGCCTGTGCACTTAACCTCTATTATTCCTTACTGCCCACCTGGGTCCCTGACTCTGGCTCTTGGAGAGAAGCTTAATCAATGTTTCCTCCAGCCTTGAAAATAAGTTCAACTGATGAGTCTGCAGAGAGGTCACTATGTTTTCTAACTCTAGGTAAAGCTAATACTAAGAAGTCAGTACTCTTATTCCTTAAGCATAAGTGCAATGACATACTATTGCTAGACTAAGAAGAGATGTCCAGATCCTTTCAATCCTATAAAAACTTTCAAACAAATCTATCCTCAAGATTATTAGAATAAATAGTCACATTTGGGTCATCGCATGCAGTGTCTCTCTTCTGTAGGACTAAATATCTGCTGATAGAATGTTTTTTATTCTTTATACTTTTCTGAGTGTTTGTTTCTTCAGAACTTTTTGAGGATGTCTGCTTTATGCTCCAGAAACTGGGAAAGGAGAAAACACTTTCTGGGTTGTCAATGGAGCATTCAGTCTGCAAGGCCGCCCCATGGCATGCAAGGGCTTTAGGCCAATTCAAACAAACAATTAATTTGGAGAGGTGTCAGGCACATGTTCCAACTGGACAACTCTAACAGACAGGCAAGGGGAAGAAAGGGACAAAGTCAGAGAAGGACTATAACCCAATGGCTAGAGACATTTCCACCTCTCATGAAAGGCTTCCCAGAAACTATCTCTCTCACAGAAAATTTGAAGTGGCTTCTTTAAATCCAAAACATGATATATACTAATTCTTGCAACAAAACCTATACAGGATGTAATGTTTTACTTACTTTAAAGGATTAAGAACCAGAACACCAGCTCTTCACACATGTGCCACCTTCAGCGTTGACTATGTGGTACCCTGCACAGACCCCCCAACTCCACTCACTTTAGGGGCGCTGCTGTTCTCTTCCATTGCAGACCTGGATTCAGCCCAAACATCTCACAGGGAAGCCAGAGCAGATGTGCTCCTCTCCCCTGAGATGTGGGGATGAAGGAGGGTCTTACCGAGTTCTCCTTCAGCTGCAGCCCCTCCCCGTTGGGAAGGGAGGACCTTCTCTTAGAGGAATTCCTGTTTGGAGTTGAGGTAATGGCCCCTGCTTTCCTCTTCACAGTGAGCACCTCACAGCTGGCTTGGTCTTCGTTGTGCGTGCTCTTCCCAGCATTGATGACCCTGAAGAAGAAAAGCTGGTCAGAAAGGGTGATTTCTGGAAAGCTGAGAGCTCAGTCTCAAGGGTCAACCCAGGCAGTCTCCATAACCAGCATAAAACTAAAGCCCCACTTCACGCACAGAACCTTATGGTCTTGGTGTTTTACGTTCCCAAATACGCTGAATTTTTAAAAAATGGAGTTATATTAGTACACATTAAAATATTTGCTAGAGCTTTGTTCTGAGATCAGTTCACCTTTGCAGGTGACTTGACAGTATCAACTCCACCAATCCATTCTAGTCAAAACACATGAGACAAACACATGGGTAATTACAACAAAGACAGATCAGCTGGCTAGGGAAATTCTGTTGCACTTCTCCAAGTGATAAAGAGCAAAACCACCATCAATCTTATCAGAGAACAAGGCAGTAATTTACTGGACATTATAAAATCCACGGGAACAGAGAACCATATTTCACTACTGCCATGCCCACTTTTACACACAAAGAAGCTAATAGATCAAAGGTTTATTCTTTTTAAATTATCTTTAATCCTTTCTCTTTTGTAGAACAAAACTCATCACACTGAGCTATAAGCACTCTGATGTAGATGCGTGGCTGTATGGTATCTTGGTATGTTGATACTGCTTTGACCTAATAAATGCTTTAAGCATAGAAATGTTTCAGAAAAACATGCTACATCATTCACATACCTTTTTCAGTACCAAATGATTTCAGACTGAACTACTGGGCTTCAGCACCATTTTATTGTTAAGTAATTAAGCAGCAGCTAAAATAGATTTCCTGGAAGAGCGCTCCCCTTGACTTGCCACTGGCTGTCACAGTAGGTGACACAGTGTCATAGGAGGTGACAGAGTAAGAGTGGAGGTTATAGAACTCAGTGGTGAGGGAAGTTTTTTTTTTAATGTAAGATAGATGGAAATCCATGCTATATGTGGTGTGTACAACACTATTAAATCTGGCTATTCTCCCTTCCAAACAGTTAAGTATAAGACGATCATTTTCAAATGAATTTTTTTTTTACTTTTAATTCTAAAATAATGACAGGCTCAGAGCAAACTGCAGAAATAGTACAGTCTCATGAGTCTCTCAATGGACACATACATAATTAAAGGACAGTATCAAAATAGGCAATTGATACCATACAATACTGTCAACCGGACAGACCTTATTCATATTTCACCTTTTTTTCAAGTGGCTTTCAGTATTAAAAACTGCATAGACACAGGGAAGGCACTATAGCACAGAGAAAACAAGTAGTGACTCTATAGCATCTTACTACACTGATGGACAGTGACTGTAATGGGGTATGTGGTGGGGACTTGATAATGGGGGAATCAAGCTCAATGTTTCTCATGTAACTGTATATTAATGATACCAAAATAAAAAAAATGTAAAAGGAAACCCGCATAGATAGCCGTAAGCCAGTACATATGTACACCACAACCAAACAGGAAATTATTTGGGTACTGTAAGACCTCGGGAAGTGTGCTTTGAGCAGCCTTCCGCCAAACCTTGGGATGCTAGCAAGGTGTTTCAGACATTTCAACATTTGCTTTAAATCTATTTCTTCAGATATATGAGCATTTGGGGGGAAAAAAAACGCCATAACTTGAAAGTTCATTCCCATCTGTTCATGTGAACAAACACATACTAATCTATGTATTTTGGGCAGCTTTGACATAGTAGGCCTATCTTTTTTAATTGATAATAATCACTTGATGAGAAGTACTGTTTTTTTAAAAGTAACACTTGCAATTACCTATCTATATGTTAGAGGGAAAAAACCATACTAGCATCTGTTAGCTTCCTTACTTCAAAGTTCTGTATTAAGCAAAACTGGTCCATCATTCTTACCGGGTTTCTTATAAATTTTAACCTAAGTATATTTTGATAAACAAGAGCCTACTCTTTTACTCATTTTACATATGACAGGTTTGTGTATGATTTTTTTTGAAAGTAGATTGTTGTTTACAGAAAATGCTTTGAAAATCATTGTTCTGGGGCCTGTGTAAGATTTGGGGATCCTTGTTGATCTCTGTGAGGTCAAATCTGCCTCTCTGGGATGCAGGGGTGGGAAGAGGGAGAGTTTAAGGTCTAGTTTTCTGCCCCCATCTTTACTCTCTCTAAGGAGACATTTTCATGCGGTTTAAGAATAAAATGTAACTTGCTGATATGATGAGGCACCTGCATGGACATTATTAACACCACTGCACTGACTGCCTGAGCTAAGTCAATGAGGACAGGCTCCACAGCCAGCAAGGGGCACAGCCGGGATTCAGAATGAGGCGCACCTCGGCCCCCAACCCAACCTCTCCCAGTTATGCACGGGGACAGGGACGCCCATCAGTCTGTGGCAGGCCAAGCTGGACTGTGGGGGTAAGCACAGACTAAGCAGATTACGTAGTTTGAGTCCAGGCCTGAAAGGAAAGGAAGTGCTCTCCCTGCCTGGCTGGCTGCTGGAGAAAGGGTCCAGAGGAGTGATGGTCTTACCTCCCTGTCTCTAGAAGAGCCCATGAGAGTGCAGGAGTTTGAGATGGAGCTCCTAATAGAGAACAGGCCTTTGCATCTACCCTTGGAGAACCAAACCAGGTGGAAGAAGGAGGACTGCTTCTCTCAGTCGCTGGTAGTGGGTTCCTGAGTGGCACGTTTGGGGCAGATTGTTGCTGGGTGGCGATGTGACCCATGGCCCCCCACATGAGAATCCTCCCTAGGGAGAGCTGAAGCGGGGGCCCCCCAGCAAAACCAGTCCACGACAACCGTCCCCTCCACTCTGTCCTCTGCACAAGCTCCTAGTTGCTATTTCTGGAACTTGGCATGACCCTGACCATTGGGGCCCACACTTGTGCTGCAGTCAGGTCTTTTTGTACCAAAAATAATGCATTGCTGATCTCCAATAGCTCCACACCAGGCTGACTCATTGGCCACTGCAGTTTTCCACTAGTAACAAAGCTACCAAATGACAGAAATCACCATCCCCAGAAAGGGCTGTGCCGCCTCTCTCTCCGTGGATATTAAATTCCATAGTTGACCTACCTTCAGCAAGAGACCTTAGAGACTTTATTTTATGCAAGAGAAGCATGGGGCCCCAGAAGACTGTGACTTGCACAAGGTCACACAGCTAAATACAGCAGAGCTGTGAACACACTTCTGAGTTCCCAGCTTTTTTGCTTCAGCTTTCTGTTGTTTTATTTTCCTTTTGTGTATCTATTCTTATCAGCACTTGGTTCAGAGGACTGTACTGCAGTGACTCATCACAGCTGGGGAGCTGGGAAAGGACAATCATGGGGGGGGCGCCTGCCTTTGCCATTTCATGCTGGATATGGCTTGTGAATGACACAGATGAAATACAAAAGTCACAGTTGCCAGCCTAGTGGGAAGACAGCAGCTCCGGCCCCGTGAGCCTGTTTGGTCAGTACCTTATTATCACCCAGATGGTAAAGTCATACTTAAGCCACTTAAAAAAAAAGCAACTGTTATCCCATACTTTACATTTTTTCAAATTTCTCACTCCATACAACTTTAGTACAAAGACCTTATTCTTCTAGATTTATACTGGCTTTAAAAAGCTTGACTTTAATCAAGTTAAATTTTTAATTTTGTTCTTCAAAGGCAAAAGCTTGCAGTTTACTAAATGTAAATGAAACCTTTAATTCCTCTAAACTGATTAAAAACTTTGTTTTGCAAGCGAGAAGCATCACACCATTAACAGATTCAGTATTATTTTTTTCACTGTAAGAGGCTGTATCAGTAGCTACACTTACTGTCTTGTGCTCCAGCATCAAGTCAGTGCTACCTTGAGATCAACAGGAATGAATATAACATGTGCATTCTTTATCTAAACATTCTTTACCTACCCATGATGCTTATTTTGAAGACTTACAAACAGAATGCTGGTGGACGATGAATCATCCTATCTTTGAAGACGTTATTTTCTAATTCCCTACAATGAGGGAGAACATCTTCCTTGCAATTGAACTGGAGGTAATAAAGAACAGCGGTTAAGAATGTGGGATCTCTCCCCAGGATGGAGCACACAGCAGGTGTTCAATTGTTGGTTGAAGGAATGAATGAAATCAGACAAATCCTTGCTACTTTCTAGATGTGGAGTAGTATCTTACATTTTTTGAGAACTATGGTCCAGGGATTGCTGTTAGCATTTTACATGTAGTAATTAACTCGTTTAATCTCTTGTTGACTGTGAGTTTGCCACCACTGTTCTCCCCTTTTAAAGATAAGTCACAGCTAGTGGGTGGTAGGCGTTCAGTCACATTACTTCCCCAACCATCAGCTTCTTAGCAGTGCTTCATGGATTAAATTCTGGGAGTTGCTAAAATAGGATGTGTGTGTTGGGCACAGGGGATTTTAGCCATCTAAATTAAAGAACTGAGAAGCTTTGAGGTTAGGATTAAAATTCAGGTGGGAGACTTGCTAGGAGGGGAAGGCTAGCTGCTGTCTCTTCAATACCAAATGTTTGCACACCCAGTTCTTTCCTTTCTTAGAAGACCACGACATATGACATATTTGCCATGGGAGACAGACACATGAGGAAGTTTAATTCATTCAAGGACTGCATTGACCTACTTGCCTACCTTTATGAATCAACTGAACTAAAACACCTAGCTTTTTTTCCCCTTCTAAAAACAGGCAAACACAGACCTTTAAGGACTTGGAAGTCAAAAATCCTATGTCTGTATTAGATACTTCTTGAAGCTATGCCCTAAATACCAGGCATGAACATGCCTGTGAGATCACAACAATAGCAGAACCTATTTTAAAAGAGCAAGCCATTCTGTGCTAAAGCCATACACATGGGAAACCTGTTTTCCTTCTTTCTGTTTGTGAAATACTCTAGTTCAAATTTTTAAAAAATCACCTCCACCTGAATTTCAGCAGCAAAGTCCTGGTTTTAACTGCAATTATTCAATTACCAAGTTATCGGCCCTCTTATCTGCTCAAAACCTTCACTACAAGGACACTCATCTGATAATACGACACATAGA